TATTCTGGAATTGCAGAACAGATTTTTTTTTGTTGCCACACTTATTCCTAAACTTTTGATACTGACATTTCAATCTCAAAGCCTTGACAGCTAACCTTACTCTTTGTTCTTTCAATCATGAGGTTAGCTGAGTTTTAAGCACCAGACATGGGAACTGTTGGAACCCAAAAGCAATGCTTACCAGCCATTTTTATTTTATTGGTGAGGAGGCTTCAGGTTTAAAGCACTACAGGAAGCTCAGCATGTCCCTTTAAATAAACCAAAAACACAGTAAGTTTTAAAATATATTTTCTTTCTGACTGCCATGGAGGATTAGAGAAATGAAACATGCTTTTCATAGTAATGCAAGGGCATGTTTTGAAGTGACAGTTCCATATGTTAAAAAAAAAAAAAAAAAAAAAAAAAGAGGGAGGGGTTGGGGGAAGAAAATCACAGATGCCTGAAAATGATGGGGTAGCTTATGAGTTTCCACAAACATGTGAAAATTTTCCAAAGGCAAATTCCTGACTTTCTTTTAAATGCCCACAAGTGTATTCTGTTCTCTAGCATATGGTAGTGCCTTTGAAAAACTTCAGCCTTCCAGAATTCCAGTGATGTAAATAGAATTCTGCATCCCTGCAGTGAAATATTTTTGATCTTATTTAAGGTTATTTCCTTCACCAGCTCCACTTCTTGCAGTTCTTTGCTGTGATAGGGTCACTTCCCTATAATGACCAGAGAGGTGCATCTTAGAAAAAACAGAGAATAGTTACAATAGATGGAGTTTAAAGCAAGTAAAAGTTAACTGATATAGAAACATATAAGGATTTACTTTGTTTGGGTTTGGGGCTTTTGGCAATTTGGGGTTCATTTTCTGTGAGTTCTTTTATTTAGTGTCTCTTAGTGTATTATTAGAGTGGTTAGAATTAGGTTTATTACTTCCGAATGAGAACTACCTATGTCTTCCACCAGTAGAATTCTTACTGGTAGTCATGAGGAGCATGATGAAACAGCAGGGAAAGAGCTGGACAGGGAATGAGATTTGGGTCTCTGAGCCAGTCCTGTTTGCATGGGTAAAATTATTCAGGGAGGCTGCTGTTAGGGGTGGGCTTGAGAGACAAAAAGGAAGCAGTGTCTGTTAATCTGTGTGGGCATCTGTATTTTGCTCAAAAGTCTCTTTACATGAAAACTGCACAGTATATGCTACTTTTTTTTTTTTTCCAATGCAAATACAAAGGGATGAAAGTTGCATGGATTTTGAATGCCTAAGATTCACTCCATTACAGAATGCAAACTTGGTATCACAAGACACCAAAATTCCTCACAGATTTAGTAACAGCTAAATCAGCTTTCCAGAAAAGCCAGTATCACCTGGAATACAGTTTATGTTAAATGAGATGTCTTATTTCTGATATCTCTGGATTGCTGACAGACTGCAGATGGCACAAATCTAGGCACACTACATTCCAAACAAATTCACAACAAAATTTGATTTGAGATTTTCTAGAAATTAGGAGCTTGGAATTAAATTTATAGCACATTCTAGTTTAGATAATCATACAACAGTATTAAAAAAAACCCACTATTTATTTTCTGCCACACTCACTGTGGGCATATCTTCAACTTTTAAGCAACTTTTTTCTCAAAACAACTGACCATGTACAGTGCAAATAAATAGATATAGGCATGCACAAGCTCGCGTAAGATGGACACTATACAATTGTCAAATGCATCTGGAATAGCAGGCAGCAATATCAGTAAGTTTCTCTCTCTCACCTGTTCGGGAGCAGCTTGCTGTATACAGATAAGCCTTTCCCTTCTCTTCCTTTCTTTTCAGGTTAAAAGACAATACATTTCCTTCATTCCTGCAAGTGTCTCTTTAGACTTCATAAATGTGTGCTCCTTTTAGTTTAGCAGTTCTAGGTTACAGTCCTGTTGGGGTTTTATTTTCATTCACTAGTATATTACAATAGTAATATTCTTCCTTTTTTCCCTTTAAATAAGCTGTTTCCAGCCCATGCCTTGATGCGTTCAAGGCATTCAAACTTGATCTGTTCATAAGTATGGAACATTTAAAATCAGATGAATGAAATCAAAAGATCTTTTTTAACATGATTTGTAAATGGATGTTGTACAGGAACATACTGCTAGGAGCCATATTATTGTGTAGTATGTTCCTTTCTTTGTGAATTTATCACAAAATACAAATCCATGCAGATTCAGTGATACTAAACAGCAATGCAGTGCTGCAAGAACAGTGATAGTTTGTAATCACTTTTTCATACACAGTGTGACTGGACCATAATGTAGTTTTGAGGTCTTAAGTGAAACTGCAGGGAGAAATGAGTTATTACAGGATCTGGAAGCTGATGAAGACTGGAGCTAAAGAAATTTTATTTTGGAACAAGCAATAAAAAAATTTGACTAGCTGAGACATTGATTTTATTTTGTGTAAAAGATGGCATCCCCAGGATATAAATTCCTAGCACTATTCAAAAGTGCTTGGTTGAATACTGACACATAGGGAAATCTTCCAACAAATCAATGCCAAGAACATCTATCTCATCAGACATAAGCATGCCTTGGTTTATAACCACTTTCTGTGACATGGTTTGGGCCCAATTTTTCTGCTGATTTGTTCTACTTTGTATATTGACCCATTTTGTCTGCAGTAGATTCTTGACAGGGAGGATTATGACCTACACCATTGTGTAACAGAATTATTCTACTCTGTCAGATAATGATGATCACAGAGTGACCTACCACAAAGGTGATAGGAGTTCTTCACCTCCCTCTGGAAAATACAACAAGGAGTGAATTGTTGACATGTTTCAAAAGACTCAACTCTTTCTTCTGAAAAGCAAAATAATAATCAGTAAAATCCAAAAGGGTATTCTATTTTCTGCAAACCAATGAGTTTGTCCTGTGTGTTGAACTATGCCCCCAGTCACTCCTAAACCATTGTTGTTGCCTGATTTGATTGTCCATTGACCTATGCTTGGCTTCTGTTTGTGCTGTCTGGGTTTAATGTTTGGTTTCCATCTATCATGATACTACCTTTCTCCTGAATGATAAACTCTGCATTCAGCTAATAGAGCTATAAAAATTAACCTAGTTAACTTTTATTGGCTTGTTTTGGTCAACTACAAAGAGGGTGCGACAAGACGCACCCCTGACCTGAGCACCTTCATCATCAACTTGTGGCATGTGACCTGCCTGCTATATGCCAGATAGTTATAGCTGACCTCCAAATGCTATTTTCAAAAACCCATGCATTAGGCAGTTTTTCACTTGTACTAAAACTGGAATTGGAAGTAGATGAGCTGTAAGTTCCATGGCCTACAAAATAGACCAGGTAGTGTAGCTGTGGAGCTGGACATAGCTTCCTATATGGCACAGAAGGGTACTTTCACAAACCTCAATAAACAACATATTTCTCTTTGGACTTACTGTCCATTCTCATCTGGAAGGCAAATATTGCATTCACAGAGTAGGACTTGTCTGACCATGCTCAGGTGTGTACATCTCACCTGGTTGCTGCTGGCAGTCTGTGTGCTCAGAGCAAAGTGCAGTGCAGGCTAGTCAGTCTGAAACAGCTGTTGAAATAGATCAGAGGGATAATTGTCTATAACTCTTTACAGACTATAAAGAAAAAGTCGGTGGTCTGCTGGGACTCCCATCTCCAGTGTGGTCACCTGAAATCTGGTGAGCTGGATGCTATTAATTAGTCCTTTGTTAGGCATGTTAACACAGCCCTCAAGGTATATGGCTGCTGTGAAAATGCCTTAAGAGTCTGCTGAATTTTTTCCCTTAATTAAGCAAAGCTGCCTCTCTTTCAGAACATATACCATAGTTTTTGTTTTATTCTTTTCCAGACACATCTTTTTAATACATAAATCAGAAATGCTTTCAGCCTCCTCTAATTATGGTTCCAGTATTCCAAAACATGTAAGTTAGCAGTGCTTTCATGTTCCTTTAAATTTGCAGAGCAGGACTGGTATGCAAAGACCAGCTGTGTTCTGTGGATCATTCAACTACCTACCTACACATACCTTAACTTAATGCCTGGCCACTAAACACAGTCTCAGGGTCTGGCCTGTAATAGCCACTGTTTCTCATACAGAATAGATTTCCTTTCAATTTTTAGTTTAAATCCTGCTACAGATACTCTCTGCTGACAACTGAATTAAGGGAATTTCTGGAGGCGGGAATCCAAGTTTGCCAAAATGCAGACAAACTCCAAATTCCTTCCTGCTAGGTTCTTGAGGCAAGAATCTCATTACTGGGAAAAAAAATTATGTTGCCTAAATATTGTATTTCAGAATTTAATTCTGAATTGTTCTAGTATTTACAACTATTAATTAATTAATACAACTGGATCTAAAGATTGAGAAAGAAAAGCACAATTGGCGGTAGAAAATGCTGGATGTCATTTAAACATCTAAAAAAGTAGCTAAAAGCAGCTAAAATTATTACTTTAAGCAATCTCTGTGTAAAAGATGGTTAATGCATCCATGGAAATAAATTCATAGCATGTTTACAAAAAAAAAGCTAATATGCTGGATTTAAGTGAGAAGTTTTTTCAGCTTTCAGAAATTCTAGGAGATCCATTTAAAATAGATTTGAAAAATACATTCAGGTAAATGGACATTAAATAACTTAAAAATAACTTATATCTACCATAGTTTTCACAGACATTTTTTTAGCTTTTGGTAAATTGATGTGTAGCTCTGCAATCATATATTGTTCAGCAGACTCATAGTGCTATCATGTTAAACAACACAGGCTGTTTCAACCTGTCTCAGAAATTAAAATTTTATTTCCTCTGTTACAAAGGGAAATATATGTAATTCTTAGGAAATTGTAAAATAAGGGCTTCAATTGCAAAATAAGCATGCACACACACAAAATTAAATTGCAGATTTCTGTGACTTTGCCTCAGTGTCCCAAATTTAATGCAGAGAGGAACCCAGTTTTCCCACTAAATAACCCTGTTCTCCCACTCCCTCTTTCTCCCCCAGCATTGCCACATGTATCTGCAGTTTGATGGCATCATTCCAGAGAGCGATGAACAGGTCAGATCAGCAACCAACTTTTTATCCATTGACATACAGACTGACTGATGGAAACTTCTAACAACCTTAAGACTTTAAGCCTCAGTACAAGAGTTTACATCAGACCCTTCACAGAAGGGAAAAGCCGTTTAATCCCAGAAACTGTTAAAACTTCCCACAAGACAAAATAAACTACCATGGTATAGTGCTTGTGTATCCTATTTATTATTTCTAAACAATTCACTATGAAAGATAATAAACTTAGTTCTATGTGTGTTTTTTTCTATTTAATCTGGCATTGGTGCTTGAGTGATCTGCTTCAGATGGCAAGACCTTTATTTTCTGCCACTGATAGATTTTCCTCTGAATGCCTTCACTTGTCAAGTAGTGCTGGTAATCTTGCTCCCTCATTTCACTGCAAGAGGGAGATCTTTAAAACTTGTGTAATTCTTTGTTGCAAGTTCAAATTCCATCTGTCACGTAATTCTAAAATCATTTCAGAGCATATTCCCTGTATTATTACCTTACTACAAATTCCAGTATGAGCTAGCAAATTGCAGTGTATTCAATTAAATAATTCTGCAGTATAGCTTATGAAACCTAAGAAGCCTAAATGCAAACATACTTGGGCAGTGTCTATTACCCAACTCTAGTAACAGATGCGAGCATTATCCTGCATTCCGACTGCCCGTCAGCAGCTACAGACACGCTGCTGCCAGCCTACACATGGTCCCTGCCTACAAGGGACAGCATTTTCTTCCAGATGCAAGAAAGGTTTTTGCCACTATGTCTCTAGTGAGCAGGACTTAGATGGCAGCATAGTTTCCTGAAAGGTACAGACATTAACATAGCAGTGTAACTTTTGCTAAAAATGTCATCAGAAGATGATTATATCATGTTGGGGAGTTCATCAAAAAATTCAAATTGTTCAGACCTTTTCAAAGCCAAAAAATATGTCTGAACTACAGAACTTTTCAATTTCTTTATGAAACCTATAATTTTGCATGATTAGTCATAGCCCACATATTCAAAAATTGCAAAGCACCAAACCCTCTGCACATTATTTGCATCGGTTTGCTGTTTAATATGTACTCAAATGTCATCATTGGAAATCTAAGCAGGCATACATCATCGTTTGAAGACCAATTTAACAGAACTGTCCTACTCCTGACATCTTAATTCTCACTCTAAAGAAATAAAAATATGCCTTAGATAAAGAATTTGCTGTCCATTTTTAAAGCTTTTTGTTTGTTCATTTTCACTCAGCCTAGGCCTCATTTACCACAGGATTTGTGCGGGATCCTTCTGGAGTGCCTCAGAGTTGTTAAGTGACAATCTAAAAGCCGATTTAGGATTAGCTAGCTTAACCAGGTGAACTGAGGGTTTCACTTTGATTGGGTAGAAAAGCCGTAGCTGTGCTTGGAAGTCCATATTGTGATACTGAAGGGCTTTATCAACATCCTGAGAGGAGTGCATTCAGAATAGGTGATGATGCGAATCTCACTAATCAGTGAAGGATTATCTGAGGCTCAGAGCTATACTGCTTCTAATTCCTTCTTCATGACTCTGTTCATGCACTGCAAAATGATCTAGTGCAACACCAGAAGTATAAATATTAGATGAGACTCTTCAGTATCTTAATTAGTGCTTTCCAAGGGAGCAGTTCTTGAATAGTCAAAGGTAATCGGATGTTTTCTGAATAACACAAAATCAGAATGATAGTAGAAATCTATGATTTCTAATGTACAGTGATTTGCACTGCATCATGCACAACATATATTACTAATTTTAAAAATGGTGTCAGTGTCAGCTGATGCCAAATTATTGGCAGGATTTAGTATTTCTGGTCACAGCGTTACTGTGTTGAAGACAGTGATTCTGCATAATTCTTTCCTCTCACTGAAATATGTGAAATTCTCCATTAACAGATTTCTCATGTATGGATTAGAAATGTGCAATACCCTGAACAATTATTTAAAATAGATTTCTTTATACCCGATACAGGTTTCTTCCACAGAAAAAAAAAAGAGTGAGAAAATTAATGAAACACTGAATAAAAATGTTTGTTTGGTTTGTTGTTTTTCTTCTCCTAATAAATTTAACAGAGTATAACAGCCTAGGAAACATGGGACTGATAACAAAATTGAGCAGCCTGGTCTAGAGGAGGTGTCACTGCCCATGGCAGTGGGGTTTGGAATGAAATAGTCTCTAACCTTTCAATGAATTTATGAATTTATGAAAATCAGTATTTCCTAGTTACAACACTGTAGCAAACTTATGCTTGCACTTCCAGTAAATGACAAGTTTTCTAAATTGGAAAAAAAACCAGTTATATATGTCTCTTAATGGTAAAACAAGTGTTGGTCTAGTCTGCTTCAGTACACACATTGTCAAAATGACAGAACAATATATCTTTAATTCTTAACATCTAATTAGGTCCAATACCTACAAGACCACCAACACAGTGAGGAATAGCTTCCCAGAATTTATTGTAGTGTTTTGTATTCTTCACCCTCTGTTACTTCTTACCATCCTTATTTCAGTCTTCTGGTCTTCAAGAAAGGTATTTATAAGTCATTCACAGCTCCTATAATATGTTTTTATTAGACTCTTTCTCCTGACTGTAATTTTCAGAAAGATAGAGAGGAAAATGGGCTATGAATAAGACCCTGGATCTGAGGTTCCAAAATTGCAGTCTAGGACCATTCACAGAATAACTCCATATAGTAAAAATCTTCATATGAGTAGTCCAGTATTTTCATATCACAAATTTTTAGTTGAATTAATTCTTTATATAAATTAAACTTAAAAAAATAAACGTCATAATTTTATCAGACAAGTGTCATTACTTATTATCAGGAACATTTTTTAAACTTCATAGAAAGTCAAAATATAACCTGTTTCTTTTTGAAGGGGGGATGTAAATTTAAGTTTTACTGCTGTTCTTCACATTGTGTTCATACGGGTGTATTTCTGCTCATAATGGAAAGTAGGTACTTTCAAATGGCTTGCAATATTTCCATGAAAATAAATAAAACAAACATCTTAGAAACCAGACATTATAAACACAAGTAATGTATTTCATTTTAATACTGTTTTTAAAACCAGATAGCAATATTTTATCTTCTGCTTTCCATGATACTGAGAAAACATACATCCAGGTAGACTTCAGATACTGTGTCAGAGGACTTCCATTTCTATCACTCCTTAATGATGAATGAGGTGGTTCTTCTAAACAAATAAGCACTTCAGAGACTTACCCTTGACAGGGCTGTTAATCCTGGGAGTCTGCCTTATCACTGTAGAATTCAAGGGCTGAGCTTGTACAGTATGCCTGTACTGCCTGTCTCCTACACTGCTGCTCTGCTGAGAGCTTGGACAGAACTATTTCACGTCTTGCATGTAAAGCCATGCTCAGGCCTTCTGTTCTGGTGTACTTGCAAACAGAGAGGCTTATCATCTTAGTAGCCACTGGCCTCCTTTAATATCTGGCTGAATTTCTCATTCAGATGGATGTGTTTTCAGCCTGCTGTCAGTGGCATATAGTTTCCTGAGCAGTCTTTCTTCACTTAATGCAATGAATCTGGGGCTATAATGCAAAGCTTACCTTGAGTGCTACAGAAACTTAAGGCAAGTTATATCACACTCTTTTGTCACAAATGAATTAAAAATATGGCCCTTTAGTACAGCAGAACTTCACAAAATGGAAATTGTGAGGAAATGCAGAAAATCTTGTCTTGTGATTTTGCATACCTGACAACAGCTATTCTGCTTAATGTCACCATTAAACTACAAAGCTTTTAAAGAGCAAGAGGTAATTGTGTAACTCTAGTGATTAAGCAGAGAATTTGGATCCATTTTCACAGAAGTGAAGCGTTCTTCAAAATGTCTTTCATCCTTTCTTTCCACCACTTTTCAAATCCCTTCCACACCACCTGCCATGGAAATCTGGAACACTACCAGGATCATATAAGAATTACAAGTGAATATTTTTTATCTCCATCAGTTTCCTTATCCCTTAAAAGGCTTAGAACAGGCATGCAACTTCAGCTGCTGTTTGAAAATCAAAGCAGAATGTGTTTCCAGTTTATAAATTATACGATATTCAAAAGCACAGACTAACATTAAGGAATTGGTTACACTGCTTGACATCTAGAACTGTTTCTTCCTTTTATCTCTCTTACTTTCCCCTCCTACTCCCTTTCCTTTCCTTCTTGAGGATAGAACACAAAGAAGATGTAAATTTTGATGCCTTGGGCCTCAGAGAGATAGGAAGGAAAAAGATAATGCCAAAAAATAAATGAGAGAAATAGGGTGAATAGAGGGTCTCTTTTGATCTAACATCAGTAGTTCTATTCACCAGTTTCATTCCTTGTCCATCAGAAAGATCCCTAATGCAAAGTATCAGCTTTGTACAGGCTTTTCTGAACAGTGGGAACAAAACCAGGCATACATACTGCACTAACTTTCATTCTAGTCTTTCAAAGATCAGCATAAATATTGTCATCAAAGCCACGTGAGAGAGAGATTTTAACACCACTTTACAGAGAGAATACTGTGAGGTGTAAATAGTTAACAAGCATAAGGAAGCAGAAGAGCATTCCAGGAATACTGAACAGAAAATGAATGTTTGGGTCTGATCTTCAGAAGCTGTTTTCTTAATGGGCAGGAAAAGCCCTGCACTCATAGCTGATAGAAAATATGCATACCATCCCCCTCAGCTGCCTGCACTGAAAAAGACAAATTCTGTTAGATGTAAAAGGTGAAATCCTCACTGGAGTGATGAGCAACTCCCTGACTTAAGCAGAGTTGAACTTTTCTTTACATACTTATTTCTGCTTAGTAGGTAGTTTGTCAAAGTGAAAAAGAGACTTAGATTGTAGTTTATTTTCATGGATTTGATGGTGGCAATCCGCTATGAAAAGTTCTCTATTGTCCTTTACTCCAGCTTCATAGTCCCTTTTTACAGTTTCTGCCTTCCTCAGCTGTCCTGAACTGTCTGGAAAGACAGGATTACAGATCAGGCCACTGAAATTATTTTTATTATGTTTTAAATCCTCAGGGCTTTTTTAGGTGGCATTAGGGGAGAGAAAATTTAGTTGGGAGTGTTTTGTGTTTTCTAAACTGAGATAATTTTACTGTTCTGGATTATAGCATATTCATCAGACAGTTAAATCAAGTGTTATAGGTAGGGGTAAACTAGAC